AAATCAAACCTAGCTTTTATAGATTAACCAGTTACCCCTGTATGGAAAGTCTGGACTGGCACTCTTTTTAATAATAATAATGATAACTTAGATTTGTATAGCGCCTATCAAGAAATTCTAATGGTCAGAGATTGTTACCTTAAAACCCAATGCAGAAACTGGCTCTAACCGGTTGTGTCTGAATGTCTATCCCACTCATTCTTAAACGGTGGCACGCTTACCAATAATGGTATGTGGGCTCCCTCTAGTGGTACGTGGGAAGTCTCCCAAAACAAACACTTCCTGGTGAGGTGGCGATTCAGCCATTTGATTCACATTACAGCAGTTAATGAGTGAATGAACATGGTGCAATAAAAGTACTTTTAGAAGTACATTTTTCCAAACACTTACTTAAATTTACTTGAGTAGGGTTAGGGGTTGCATCCTCACCATGGATTCATGTTCTATACTCTTGCTAGTGACCTACTAATTTTATTTTAGGTGTGTTGCAATAGGGACATTGGAAAAGTTGCAGGACACCGGTCCACGAGGACTGGAGTTTGAGATCCCTTGATTAAATAGAAAATGATACAAAGAATTAAAACACGTTAAAAACACAACAGCCTTAATAAACGCAGAGTAGTTTGGACCCAGAAGCAGGGTTCATACGTCATAACTTAAAGGCCAGGTATACCACCTGTTGTGAATGTTTTAATGCAGTAGTGTTGTCATTATTATCACTTGTCACATCCTGGGTATGACAGTTAAAATAAATAAGATTCATATAAGAAATAAAACTGTCTTGCGTAAAATGTATATGGTGTTAAATAGGCCTATATCACTGTACTTTAATGTCGGTCATAAGGGTGGTACTTAAAGAGCCATATATTGTATGAGGTGGTACTCATGGTGAAAAGTTTGAGAACCCACTTCCTCTAACCAAACATTGCATAATCTTAAAGGTCAAGGGCAATTCATCAGCTGCACCCATTAAAAGCAGCTATACAGATCCTTGCTCTCTGCACAATGGCTACATTATTATTTTGTAACCAGAAAAGGAATAGGCTTCTTTCTTTCATTCACACATCTGTTCACACACACAATCATATACATGTCCACTCACGGTGCTCTATTGCACTGATTCTTTGTCTCAACACACACTGATCAACACGGTTTATTTTCCTTTCTTTATACTGTCTCATTCACTAAATTGATTAGGCATATATCTAATTGTAATTATATATGATTAACTGATTACCGGAATCACATATGATCACTTTGTTGTAGTACTCTGTGTTACTCTAACCATGAGAAGGCTAGATGTCAAGTCCTTTTTTTCATTATTGAGTTATATTTTTTCACTAGGGGATCTCATACCTTTCATCCCTTTGTTGAAATACCTTTAGATCCGTTAAACTGCTGAACATTTTTGTATAATTGTTTTTCATACCCAAAGTGAATAACTATTTTGAAAATATTATAAATATGCTTGAAACTGTTTCTTCAGTATTTACACATCATTGCTATTTGTTTCCATTTTTTAAAAAAATATATGATTAATATAGATGTATATTTCCATACAGGATTAAGTCAAGTGGAAAAGAATCGGTTTTTTGAGATGAAAAAAACTATCAGCAGATTTAGAGCTCCAGAAAAATCTGCTGTAAGGTCTGTGCAAAAGTCCATGAAGACCTTGAATCTGCTGTACACATACCCCAAATGTCCAACTGAACCAAAATCCATCAAAGGTAAGATCTACTACTTTATACATTTAAGGCTATTCATTCTCTCTCCCCACCATACCTCTCTGATTTGGTACAGATCTCCATCCCATCCCAGTGCCTCAGATCCTCCTCTTCTCTTTTTCTTTCTGTTCCTTCCCCTCATCTTATTACCACGGGGGGCAGGGCTTTTAGTCGCTCTGCCCCTCGACTTTGGAATTCTCCCTGACCTCAGAAACATCACTTCACTCCCTCTTTTTAAGTCCACCCTCAAAACCCACCTGTTCAAGATAGCCTACTCTATATAACTTCTCCATGCTCCTAAACTTTCTTTTTTTATTGTGTTTATTTCCTGTTTTGGTGCATGTCTTATATGCTCTGTACAGTGTCTTTGGGTGTTTTGAAAGGCGCTTTTAAATAAAATGTATTATTATTATTATTATTATTATTACTGTTATTACTGTTATATGTATGATACTTTTTGGTCCCAAAAAGTTGATTCTGTTCACCGGGATGTAGTGTTTTCAGTAGGAGAAATGTTTCATCACTCATCCAAGTTAATTCTGTAGTCTCTACTAACTGCAGCATTGTTCATTCAGTGGTGCTAGTTTCACTCAATGTGCAAATGTACTGTTTATAAGGTTGGGGAAATCTGCAGTTAGCTGAAACTGAAGAAGTCACTTGGATGAGTGATGAAACATTTCTCCCACTGAAAACATTAGGTCCAGATGAACAGAATCATCTTTTGGGGATTTCCTTGCCTGGATGATTGAGCATGCATTAAGACTAAGGAGCTTAGAAAGAAAAGCGTCCGGACTTCTTTAAGTTTGCTTGAAGACGTTTCACCTCTCATCCGAGAAGCTTCTTCAGTTCTAACATGAATTGGTGGAGAGTCCCAGATTTTAAGCCCTATGGGAGTGTTCTCAAGAGGGTCATGGGCCCCCTATGGATCCTCTGCCTAATCACATGAGTCAAGGTATGAAAACGGGTGTGGGTCACAATCAGCCAAGG